TATTTAAAACATCATTTTTACACAATGACCATCAAACAGGGGCTATACACACAAACACACAAAATTGAACACCTTTTTGATTGCAGTATACTGCTCGATTTAATGCTGAGGCTGTCAAGAACTTTTTTTATGCTCTCAATGATGGAAAGATATCAAAGAAGAAATTCAACAGTAAGTTTGCAATTACACCTTCTGAATCGAGCTGTTTACATTAGCAAAACAGTAGCATCTCTTTTGTCGCGCGCGCGCATGTGTGTTGGGTTGAGGGTGGAGGGATGGGGGTAGAAAGACTTTAAAATGATATAAAATCTTGGAGAAATCCTATAATACGGCTTGAAATAGTTTTTCAACAAAACTTCCGAGTTTTCCCAGGTATGAATTATCTTTTTTATGTATGGTAAGGCATAGATTTGATCCTCTACTTTTAAATCATGCTTTGCTAAATAGACGAACCTGGTTTCGAGTTCTGCGCTACCTTTTATATGTTTGACTGATGAAAGGCATAGCCTTATGTGAACATTGAAAAACTCTTTGAGTTTTTATGTCACTTCCACATTAGTAAAGACTTCAACTGACCTAAAAAATTTGCAGAGTTTTCACATAATAATCGTGCTTCATATACTTTACAATCATCCTTCATCATGGAAGTTTTAGCGCTATGGATCTAAACTTAAAGAATCTAATCTAATTGCAGTCCAGCTTGCTTTACTAGAGTAAGCTAGGGAAAAAAGAGAGATTTTCAAAATTATAGGCGGGTTTCTAACTTCTTGACACGAATTGTTTGTTTCATTATTCTATTGTTGCTGGTGTTATTGTGAAGTAGTGGTTCGGAAATTGAGACCGCAGATTTTTTTGTCCTGGAGTTTGGGACAAGGATGATAATTCATCAAATAAAACATCCTTTTGACCTTTCATGTTTATTAAATTAGGATGATCTTTACGATTATATATTGCAGCTGGATTGTTTGTCATATGCAATGCCTTTGGAATTCAAAAGATTTTTGGAAGCTTTGATTAATCAATTTCACAATAGGAGAAAAGGAAAAATCATGCCTTTTTGGTTGTTGATTATGGTTGGTTTTTAAGAGCTTGCTTGGCAAAGCTTAAATAATAATTTAAGCTGGTCAACACACATTAGGATTCACAACTCATTACCTTCTTATTATCCGTTCATTATGTAGGACCCACAACTTATCAACACTTAAAAGCACTACTAAATAAGCACTTAATATGCCTACTTAAGAACCTCACGTTATTTTTTTCTTAACAAAAATATTATTCACTAGAAAATATAGCTGAAAATATTTTACTTTTGAAAAGAGCGTGAACCTAAAATTATATTTTGGTACGATTGGATTACCATGTTTTTCTCTGTTTCTTTGTTATTTAGAGCTTGTTTGGCACATGTTTTTATAAAATCATTTTTCTACCATACATTCTATGAAACCTTCAACTTTTCCTCCACTTTTTAACCACCCACTCTCCAAAAAAATCGCTTTTTACTTGGAAAAATCTGTACCGCCAAACAAGCTCTTATACTTTTTTCGAAGAAAAAGGAAGTGGCGTCATTCTATTTATAGAGGGCTTACCCACTGTGCGAGGCTCCTATCAGCTATCATTATGCGGTTTGGGCAGACTTAAATTTATGAAGCCTTGTGCCTGCAAAGGAGAGGCTTGTCCAATCACTTAACTTGGAGCAACCTTTCCATTCCGCGTAAAATACACTAGTATTTTCCTCAAGAATTCGTCTTTCTCCTCTTTATTTCACTATCCTGCTACTAAAAATCTCTGTTTGTAGTCTACTTGGAGCATATCATGGATTTCTGCTTTATTCTCTTTATTTATTTTCCCATAAATATCTTCATATATAATCAATATTTAAAATAACTGGATCCAAATTTTAACCTATCACGTCTTTTGGATGTCATGTCATAATGAAAAAAGAAGTCAGAAGGCCAGTAATTTCCAGCATCAATTATATCCAAGAAATTTGAACCACTTACATCTCAACTAGTGATGAGATAAGAAATTGCAAGACATTTTCGACATGCAACATGTTTTCTTAGATGAGAACTCACATCCAATGCAGAGTTAACTTGAGATATTATTATCAAATTTCATATTCCTAAAAGGATACATTCGCACGACCTACTTGAGATCTATGACATGCTCTCACTATATCATGTGCCAATCTATGTTTAAATTCTCATGGAGTCAATTTCTATTGTTGATAATCTTGTCTTATATGAGCTCTAACTACAGATTTCTCCCCTCCCCATCATATGCTCCTTAGTTCCTACCTTCAAGTTAATGACATCCAAATTTTTTGCAGTGAGGCTTGCTCCAGAGGAAACATCAGTAAAATTAACTGGTTATGAGCACAATGGAGTAACATGTATTGGCATGAAAACAGATATTCCGGTAATATATCTTCTATTTTTTGGAAGGGGACTGAGCTTTTATTGTTTCTTTTTTCACTAGCATGGGGAATAGTTCCAGTTTGCTTTCTACAGATTTTGAGGATATGGTGATGCTGTGGTCTCAATTCTAACTTTCTGTTCAGTAATGTTTAACTTGCTGACTGCTGTTAGTTAAATCTAGGACCAGCCAATCTTTTAGATTAGAAGTGCAAAATTACTAATTTAGAGCTTAAAGAAAGCCTTTACAGACCTTTTGTTGGTTAAAACTTGCCAAATTGATTTAAAGCTTTTGAAAGGCAGGCTGGACTTAATGAAGCTTGACCGAAGGGAGAGTGTTAAATAGCTTGACCCACCGGGGAGAGAATGGATTGTAATTAAGGGCAGAGGAAGAGAAACTATTAAGACTACTTTTAGTTACAAGCCCTTTTAGCATAATTAAGCCAACCAACAAGACAATTGCACGAATGCCTTAAAAACTATAATAGTAGCGGAAAGCTGTCTAACTGATGGTGATGCTGCTTCAGCTACGCAATATGCATGCATATGATCAATGTTATTCAGGCAGTACAATGTTGTTCCCTTCAGCTGCTCTGTTTCACTTGAGCAAATAGGGCCCTGAGATTTGATCACTTGAGTTAGTGTTAGACTATTATCTCTCTTCTCTCAGTCAACAGCTGGTTGTACCAGGGCATGCACAGAGGCCCCCCCATTCCTTCTTTTAGATGTGAAATTGGAACATTTGGTGTGGTTATTTCAGGTCACTCTTACCAATTTAATTCTGCCAGCTGGATTTTTTGCCACCGTCCCAAAATATCTGAACTGTCAGAAGTATAATTTACCCTATAACTGCGGCTTGGAATTTCTGTCTCCACTATTGAGGTCCACTGTGTTGATCATATGTACTGCCACTCTCTTTCTTCTCACAGAAAATGGCTAGTCACTTGAAACGATAATTACATTATTTTCCTATTCGTTTTGCTTTGAAGTCGTGGAATAACGAACAAGTTTTAACAAAAAAATGGGAATTTGAATATAAAAAACATACAGGAAGTGGCCCATCAAACTTCATAATTACTAATTGATTGTCCAACCGATGGCTGTTGAACTGATCCGAATGTATTAGCATTGACAATTGATTGATGATCGAACACATTTGTCGCTCACTCATGTCAGACCTTAACTATCATGGAAGAGGACAGAGAGATTAAATGTGTGTATTTGCAAAAATGCAAAAAAGTGCAATTAAAGTATCTTGGTATAGTTCTTCAAAGTTTACGCTTATATTTCTAAGAACGAACTGAATCATGGCAAAAGAAAAATATGTGACGCGTGCATTTCTAAGCTTGGCTGTTAATATCTCTTACTGTCCATTGTTATCACATTAAATAAAATATGGTTTTGGCAGGTTATTTTGGACGAAGCAATAGTGAAGCTGATCCCAGATTTCTTCTGGTTGGGAGGTGGAGAGATTGATCTTAAACTGGGGATCAAGACTTCAGAATTTATCGATTTTGTAAACCCATTCATTATTAACTGTAGCGGTTGTTGATTGCTTTGATTTTTGGTGAAATTAAGCGTAAACCGAGGCATCTGGTATTTACATGACTCTTGACAATCCACTCAGTAATTCATATATCAAACAAATTCTAATTACATGGGATTCTCTTGTTCAATTTACATGATTTTTATGTTATTTATCTACTTCCTCGAATTGAATGGTCAATTCATGATAATCTTTATTTATTTATTTTCTTAGAAAAGAAGAGGCCTTTTTTGACGAATTCTTTTTTAATTGATGCTCGGTGTAGTTGGGACAATTAACTGAAAGTGCAGGAACTGAAAACACAAGTGCCTGCATTACGAAGAAATGAATATCATCATCATTTATGTCTATGGCCCAACGTAACGTTTGTATATTTCTTTATTCACAACATATTTATTACAGAAAAAAACACACCACGCATATAATGGGGGACCATCGACCATCCACTAATTCATCGCATTCATGACAGCTGCAACTTGTAATAGATATTTAATTTCTGTAATTTTATAAGCACATTTTTTTTTTGGATTTGTACAAAATAAAGTTAAAATCTTTATCAATTATTAATTCTAGTATCAAATAGTGTCTTTAGCTACCGCAGCTGAGATTCTTCTTTATTACCCTTTATCAAGAAAAGTAAAAGATCAGAAGTCTGAAACAAAATCGAAAAAAATGGAGAAATTAAGGTTGAACTTGAATCTAGGGTTCTTTGTTATGAATAGGTGGTTTACGACGTGGTTGTGCGTAGTCCATCACCACTATGTCCTCTATAGTATCACTTTTCTTGAATATCGTATTTTTCTTGGCTTTCTTCGAGGGAGATTCCAGTGTCAATTGCCCTTCTCTCTTCCATTCCTGCAAACACATAATTTCTAAGTTTTAATGAGCCCAAAAATTAGCTCACACTGACGGTTCCAGTCACTCTTATTCTGAATTTTCTTTACTAGTTTAGTTTTATGTTCAATATTTTCGGTGATTGGAGGTAAGGGCTTATCACTTATGGTCCTCCTAAGCTTGTATTTATATTTGTTTCGTTTAGTAATTGCACCATGCATGCATGCATGCAAGCACAGGCTACAAAGCATGTGTTGGCCAAAGAGTTAAAAGAATGTACCTTTTTTTCAGCAGCGTCCTCAAAAATCTTCCCAAAATGTGTCATCTTGACTTCGTTGCCTGTAAAGCTATCCGATTTTGAGAAACAGAAAATTGCAAACTTGGGGGAAAAAATGGTACGCAGGAGGCAATTTGAATTATTGAAAGGAAAAAATGACGATATATTGCAAATCAACTAGCTAGGCTGGTGTGCAAGGATAATAACAAATTTTTATCAAAGGCCTGATCCATGCAAATCTTCATAAAATAAATAGGATACATGTTTATTTATTTAGATTTTACTTTCCTTCACTATTATTGTCCACTTCAAGGTGGAATACTCCCTGCAGTGCAGACTGAGCATAGAGATCAAAATATTCATACAAATAAATGAAAGATTATCTTGTTGGCAAGTGGCAACCTTTGATGTCTTCAGCTTCCTTAACTATGTAGGCCTTCTGATTCTTTAGCTTCATAGTATTTGCACCATGAATTGTCTTTTCACCATATTCAACCCTGAAATTGCGTTGCACAACAATTTTCTCTTCCCCTGGAGCCTTCATATCCTGCAGAATGATATACGATATTATATAGCCACTGCTTGGTTTGGATAAAAATTATATTTTTAGTAGATTTCAATAATTGTTGATATTTAATTTTTAAATTGATAAAAGTTGTGGATCTTATGAAATGTGTAATTTATAATGAGTCTGGAAAAAAATGAATTCTAAGAAATGGGGGGAAAAAAAGGCGCATAGACTCCGAGCATTCATCTCCTACTTGGTGGTAGGCATCTTCTTCCGATATATAGCTTGCCTAATTATAGGTTTCGTTGATGTTTTACTTTGCTCCCACTTTGATGTACTATTCAATTTTAATATTGTTAATAAAATATTGGGATGAGTATATAAATGATGAAGGTGCCATAGAGGTGTGACGAGCTAGTTGGGATGTCTAGATGCACTTACTGATTCTCATCTCGAACAACCTTGTGTACAAATAAGTATATAAAACTAACCTTTCCAGAAAGCTGAATTTGGCTGCTGTTTTCGTGATCAAAAACTGCAAGTGACCGGCCTGTGCATGCATGCAAATAATAAATATACAGAAGAAAATAAACAAGAGTAGACATAGTAGTCGAGAGATTAATTATCTTGTGATTCAGAGAATAAGAGTAAGGTGGGATTGTGAGTTTGTGAGAGTAGGATTTTGATGCATATATGTAGTGAGAAGGGGGGAATGAGGCATTAAATGCTGGTATTGTAATAGATGAATTTGGTTTAGAGAGAACATGCAGGTGCCTGGTGCTGAACCCTTGAAAACAAAACTGAAGATATTGGAGGCAGCTCCCATGTCCCCATCTTCCACTTTTTAATCAGGACTGGACCCCATCAAATAAGACCTTTATATAGCTCTCCTTTCTCTCTCTCTCTATACTTTTCTCTACAAGCCCTTTCACTCGGGGCTATTCTGTGCATCATTACTCATAATTACTATCGACTTTGGAGGCTTAAGGAGGTCTTAGGTTCGAAACACTACGAACACGAAAGAAAACCATGTTCGGTTAAATCCCAAGTGAACATAATGGTAATGATGTGTGGAGTAGGCCCCGAGTGAAAGGGCTCGTAAGTTGTAGAATTATGGTATATGTACAAAGTTGGGTTACAAA